TGTAAATACAGAGTGGACATGTGGGTTTAGCTCCAGTATCATCACTATGGCTTCATAAAAATGGAAAGCTTTTTTTACTACGTTTTATTATGTAGTATTTTGTTTAATTTGACTCTTTCACTGTTCATGTTCGTTGTTATATGGTCTGCTCAAAATGTGTAGTGTACTTGAACACTCGCCTGTACGAGTTGTAGGAGTAAAACATATATTTTTAAAAGATCCAGTATCAGTACTTTGCATGCTGTTTAACACAACATGGCAGCATAAATTCCATCAGACAAGTTCTGGTAGAACACATTTTTCAGTCTATGATGACTTTCCACACTCCAGCATTTTCTTTTTCCTGTAAAGTTTGAWGCTGGTGCAATGAATCCTGGGACACGGTCAGCCATGAAGGATAGTCAGAGGCAGCTTTTGTTTTCTGGRTATTGAGAGCCACATCTGTTGGTCGCATGTGAAGGAGGCCACGACATGGGCCCAGTGATGTAATCATACTACAAATGCACGCTATCCAGGAACAGACACTGCATGAGTGTGTGTGAGAGCAATGTTTTCCTGGAGGTCAGGTCAGTCATGTTGCAGTGAAGCAGCTGAGGCTTCAGAGAAGATTTGTTGTGTTTCTGCAAAGRACTCTTACATTTCTCACCAGAAATAACTGGTCAACGCACAGAAGCACTTGTTTTCCCTATAGGAAGGCATCAAAGTGTGATTTGAACTCTTCAGCCAGTGTCTCCATGAACTCAACACGATGCTGATGATCTCCTTTCACTTTAGCTCCAAAAGTTTGGAAAAGTGGAGCGGCTCCTCCTGTGTGTGAAAAATAATAAAAGAAAAAGAACTTCTGCCTGATAAGGTCATCAGTTATCCAAAAAAAGCTGAGTACAACTGACATGTGTTTGGTAGAAGATAGCAAACGATCTACCTGAAGGTGTGGCTCAATCCACTCCAGGACCTGACCCTGCTCAGCATCCTGATGATGAGGAGCAGGAGCCAGTGATCAAACACTGCACTGACTTCTGTCAGGACTGTCAGCAGCAGGTGAGGCTGCAGCACAAAGGACACTTCCAAGAGGTTTATGGGTTTCGTCATATCACGAAGAAACACATTTACATCAAATGAGAAAAAAAAAAAACCCAGATTTAAACAGAGGAAAACTTGCAATGCAGCATTGAGCCTGATCCCCAGTCAGTTTCTTATGGAGAGAAATGAATCTCACAATGTGAGCATGAACGAGTGCACAGATCTGACTTTCACACATTTAATGCTGCGTTCAAGGCTGGTGTAAAGCTGGGAAATCTGAGCTTTACCACATGGGTTATTGGAATWAATAGATATCTCATAAATCCTACAGCATATTAAAACACACTCACATCAACATTACTGGSTTCCAACAACCTATAATGAGTAGACTGAACGTTTATCAAAACAAATAAATATATATTACTGGA